TAGTCCCTGAGAAGATGTGGCTAGCACGGGTCTCAGGAGTTGCACGCCGGGGCTGACTTCAGTCAGGGCTGCTTGTCGGTGGTGCCACTACCAAGATGCTGCTCACTCACTCAGAGCGGGGGCATCCATCACAGCTGGGCCTTGGATTATTTTTTAGGCTACCCGTTGTGTTCTATGAATACTACCCGTTGCTTCTATGCTAACAAAGTCAAACAAATCGAATATGAAGTGAATGTTATTCAGCAACATATGCACCAAATAGCCCAAGAGCAGCTCCTGCCCGGGGACTGGCCAGCTGGACAGTCATGGCCATCGTCTTGGCTGCCAGACCCCGGAGCATGGGCACAGCGCTTCTCAGTGCCATCAGCTCTCGTCCTGGCTGTAGGATTCGAGCTTTTCCGTAGCGTATCTCTCGTATCAGAGCACTGTCTGTATCACTTTTGTTGAAACCAGTACTGTATACTCGTGCCTCAACCACCAAACTCTCTCAGGAGCTGCAACAACATTGGGCATGACACGGACATGGGTCTCCTCCGCCTCACGCATTAGGAGGCAAGAGAGACGCACCGGGCGGGGTGTAGTCTCACTCCTAGTGACCCATCAGTGGTTGTAGGCCAAGGGGTGGAGTGATGGGAGCAGCCATAAAGGCGACCTGGTTATAAGGGGGAAAATATTGAACAGAAAAAGACCCCTGCTCAAATACTGACAGAGAAAATGCCTGCCAGCCTGGGAACCAGAAGCATCCTTGAGGAACACAGCTGGCATCTTTGAAGTGCAGCTGGGTACCGAGAAATCAGAGTCAGCCCGAGATACTACCGATGCAAAGCAAAAACAAGGAACTGTAACAGCAACTTATCGTCTGGAATGGTGAAAAGAAAGTCTGGAAAAGGGGGAAAGCAACCTGAGAAAGGAAGAGTTGGTAACTGCCATTGGCTTGTTTTAACTGACAGAACAGAAAAACAGTCTGGAAATACAAAAATTGATCCGAAAGAATAGAAAACATCATCATTTATTGACTGTGCCATGTGAAAAATAGAAATTTGCAGCATCTATTGGTTGCTCCGGGTGGTGCTGTCCTTCAACCTCTTATGTCTCTGTGATATAAAAAAGACTTACTTTTTACCCCAAATGGAGCCTCTTTCTCTGAGAAGTGCCCGTGCACGGACCTCTGTTCCCTACGACATTTCCTCGGCAGAGCGGACCCTCGCCAGGGACGCCAGGCTGACTCTGGGCTCCGTGATGCGGATCATCGACCAAGTGAGACTTTGGTCCAGTCGGCCTCACTTCTGGGATGGGTTTGATGAGCACTTGGTACTGGTAACATTTGACATATATATATATATATAGGCACGCATATAAGTAATTACTGATAAGTATATTTGCTGCTTTACTAGTGGTAATTCTGTAGTGACTTGTAATATTCAAATACAGACTTGCTACTAATATTGATTGTGCTGCTGTTGAAATATGTATTTGCTTTCTAGTAGTATTTTGTAGTATAGATGTACTAATCATAAGTGTACTTGTCTTGATAGTGATGACCTGTAGTAAAATGCAATAAAGTAATTTAGGAAATTAATCCTCCCTGTCCTTGTGCATGACAGAGTCCTGTGAACCCACGGTTGCAACCTTTGCTCATCTGCAGGCTGGGTAACCCTTCTGGGTCGTGACAGTCGAATGGAGGAATTTCTGTTGGGCTGTATCCAGTGGATACCAGCACTAACTAGTGGGCATGGAGAAAGGGATAGGGTGAAATCAAACCCTGGGTCTCGTATTGTATTGTTTCGGCATTTTGCAGGCTGGCAGTGAAGATGAGGTAGAGGAACAACAGTCAATTCCAGATACAGAGATGATGCTGGAATACAAGGGTCAGGAGATGCTGCTGGGCTGCAGATGTAGTCAGTTGTCTCACCGTGGTATTTCTTTCCAGGAATCTTAGTGACCCTCTCCTCAATACACTAGCTCCTTCGCTTTCCATGTGGCTGGAGAAATGCAAGGTTAAACGGGTTGAAGAGTGCGAGGCATTCATCTTCCAGAGCTTGGGCTTAGCCTTTGGCTATTGAGCACCTTCTCACTCCACTGTACGGGGCAAAGAGGATGCAAAGCGGGCATGCCTCACTGCGGCTTGTGTTACAGCAAAGGGTTACAGTGCATCTCCACAATTAACAAAGCAAATAATATTGCCATTGGCCTTGACTTTTCTCAAGGCGTGATGTGATGTCTCTTCCCCAGAAACACCAGCAGCACAGGGAAAAACGTGCTGGTGAGCCCCAGCCCCAGTGGCCGCGCAGCAGCAGCCTCCAGCTGTGGATGGGGAAACAGGAGGAGCTGGTGTTGCAATGGCATCCGGATTCCGGCTTGGCCAGACAAGCGCTGACATTTTCCATCACACGTGACCCGTTGATGCCTTCTGCTGAAGTTTTCATTCAGGAATGCTAGCTGTGGTCAGGCTGCCTGTATTTACAGACTCAAATAAACTGCTGCTGACTGAAATACACCATTCCCATGATTGTGCTTGGCACTAACCTTGCAAGGGTGAAGGCAGCTCTGCTTACACAGTAAAGCAAAGCCTTCTTGCTCTTAGCATCACCTCCTTCTTTTTTTTTTTAAGAAGCTAAATTTGGGGGGCAGAGCCTATAAAAATTAGAAACAAGACATTCTTTCCTTTATTAATTTATATAAAGTTTCTGTGGTACCTTCTGACAGTAGAAGTGACAGGAAGAAAGCCTGACCTAGAGGCTGAAGCCTTCCTGCACCCAGGCACGGCAGCTGCTGTCCCCATGGGACAGGCACCCGTGGTGGTGCTCTGTGCCGCCTGGCCCAGCGCCGTGGGCAGCAGGATGCTCTTTGCTGACAGCAGCCAACCCTGTTTCCTTCTTTTTGCTACACTTTCTCGGGTGCCTGGCCTGTGGCACCCTTCCCTCACCTACTCGCTCCCCACATTACTCCCTGGCTACTCTGCAGACCAGTTTGCCATACAGCTGAGTCTGCCCTTGCAGGGGAAGGAGGGCACTTGCAGTCCTGTCCCCAGGCCCCTTCTCTCTCCTCTGCACTCCCTACCCAAACCACCCCTTAGCAATGAGTCAAACTTCAGCTCTCTACAGCTGCCTTGATTGTCCCATCTCTCAGCACTAACCCAGCGTGCTGGGAAATGCCAAGGCATGAAGGTAATCTGCAAGGGAAAGGGGGGGCAGGGGGGGCACTGCCTGTGCCTTTCCTTTCGGAGTGCAAAGGAAGAAAGCAAAGGGGTTGGTTTTGTTTTTAAACTGCTTGGTCCCTTGCAAATTAGCTGCAGCAGAGCTGTATTCACAGTGTTTGCTGCTTTGGGTGGCAAAGCAGATTTAAAATGTTCCTGCCCTTCCTTTCCCTCCACTTTCCTTCCTGCTCCCCCTTTCCATGCCTGGGGCAGTACGGCTTGCGTGAGTCAGTCACAGGAACTAAGCTAAAACTCGCTCTGTCTACTTGTGATTATTTTTTGACTGTTTTCTATTTTTCTTTTGTGATAGTGACGAAATCTATCTTGCCAGCACGGCGCTAGGCAGTGGGATGGTCACGAAAACCGAATTTGCCCCATGGATGCTCCTTCCCAGGCGGCAGCGTTAGTCCCAGGTGTTCAATACGCAACATCTCAGCCTGCAAACTTTAGCCTGGGCTTCAATATTGTGTAGGAAATGTGGAGCTCTGCAGCGCTCAGGCCTGTCCTATCGCTCGTGGCCCTGCAGTGAGGAGGCAGCGCAGCCCCCAGCCCACGCACGGGTGGGTTACACGAAGGCAGCACCAGCAGTTTAACCAGAGCCTGCCCTTGCACTTGTTTTCAGGATGTATGCACCCTCCTCCCGTGCTAGGGCAGATTTAGTGGAATAAAGTGGGAAGACAGAGCACAGATTTCATTTATTTGGGATTTGCGGTTTTTTATGCCACCTGATCAGCGTCGATGCTGCCAGTGTGCCACTTGCTGCACTTCTAAAAACCCCTGCTTCTGAGCTATTTTTGGTGTGGTCTGCTGCATTTCTTCACTACTGCTGGTAGGAGGAGGGGGGGACCATAAACATCTCGAAGGAGAGCTGTTTATACTGAGCAAATAAGAGCTTCTGTTTATACAGGCAAAAACAAATAAAAAAAAAAAATCCGGAAGGATGGGCCCATGGCCCTTTTCCAATGAGAAGAGCAAGTCAAAACAATGCACACCATTTGTTTTTGCTTTTCCCTGGCAAGCTTCCTTCAGCTGACTATTGCATGATCTGTTCAGGGCAAAGAGACAAGAAAAAAAGAAAAAAGAAAAAAAAAAAAGCAGGCAGTAGCAATTGCTCCGGTTTCTCTCTCCTGCCGGCGGCTGCAGCCCCGCTGCAGTCTGTGTGGGTTTAAAGCTGCAGCTGTCAGCCAGGGTAACACAAACCCCCGCTCCAGAGGAAAACAGATGGGGCTGGGGGAAGAGTTTTGGGGGGGGAAAAAACCCCAAAACCAAAGCAAAATGTATGTTGTGAAGCAAAAACACTGGATTTTATCCAGCTCCCTTTCCAGCCAAAAGCTCAGGGCTCCCCTGCTTTTCCAGCTGTGCTCCGCTGGACCCCACAGCTGTAGTCCTCTGGTAAAAAGTCAGAGGTCTGGATCAGCTGCTGTGTGCTCCCAGCTGCCCTCCTGCAGGCACCCAGGCCGGACGCCGACTTGCACACCCCACGGAATGGGTGTTTAATTTAGTTTCCTCAGCCTAAACTCCCATTTCCCTCAGGCTCCCACCAGTTTCCCGTCTGTTTAACACGGCCGGCACGGAGTGGGAGCTCCTTGTGGTACTCCCCGCCCTGGGTCAACACCAGGGTATTAAATCAACATACCTTCTGCGGCAGTCACTGCGGCTCCAGCTCCTATTTTTATAGCCACGCTTTGATCAATACAGATTTATTAATAAATCAATCAGGCAGCAACACTGTTGCTTGCAGGAGCAAGCCCCAGTTTTGGTGGGGGGCTCAGCAAGGAAACAATGAACTCTACTCACAGCATCATATATGCACAATAGTTTTATTTTGTTTTTTATATAAAAAAAATTCCTAAAGACTGCAGAACTCTTGTATCCTAATTTCTTACACAAATGCTTCCAAAACCCTCTTCTTTTTAAGCTAATTCCCCCCTAACAACTTGCAATGGCATGGGTTCCCCTGATTTTTGACCTAGTCACCCTTTCTAATGGGATATGTCTAAAGCTGCAATATGGCACTTGGTTGACTTAGTTGGCAGGTTTAATATATCCAGAAAGCTGGGGTATGGAGTCGCACACGGCTTGGAGTCCATCAGCACAGGCGGGGAGCCTGCCTTCGCCTCCGTGCCTCCAGGATGAACCAGACTTTTCTCCTTACTGTGCAAATAACAGGCTTTGGTCATCAACCAGTCCTGTTGTAAGGGATTCTCGCCCCTGAAGAGGATCCCATCTTCAAGTGGGGAAGCAGCACATACAGTCAAGCAATTGTCCACAGCAGTCCCAGGCACTGAGACCCCATCAGTCAATTGTACCGTTGTAAGACTTGTTGAGCTTGTTGAATGTGAACTCTACATTATGCGTGGAAATAGGCTTTCGGTAGAGAGGATTGGATGCCTTTGGAGAAATGAGCAGACAGAAAGAACAAAGATGAGGAACAAAGTCCGTGTCATGGTGAAAATGTGTATAATCCCCCCTTCCTGTGCCTATTAGTTTGGAGATACCGCTGCATTTGGCTTTGACCGAAATGTGCATTCAGATCCAAAAGCAGTGTTGTTGTTTGTCCATAGTTTGTCCATCAGACCCACCATCCGTCCTGTCTGCAGGCACGGGTGATGCCCTCAATTGCTGGGCAACCCCACCTAAAGCCTCCCAGAAGGGCTCCCTCGTAGACCTGACCAACCTGGCTGCTGCCACAGTCGGAACTTGGTCCCCACTCCCCTACCTCCCTCAGCCCTCCAGCACTGCTGGGAAATACATGATGAAACCAAAGGCTGGGTATAATTTTGCAAAGTATTTGTAACTTGCCAAGGGGAAGGGCAGTGTGACGTGCCGGACCCTGAAGCCCTGCTGCATGGCACCGCGGGGCACGGGCACCCGCATCCCTCGTGCCTGCCACCCTTCTCCATCACTGCAGAGCTGTTTGCTGCCGGCGCATCCCAATAGCCCCCCCCATACACCAGCAGCACCCCCGCCCCGGGCTCACCATTTCGTATCTGGCCCGGGAGCGTTCGCTCTGGAATCGGTCAAACTCCCGTCTGTCGTGAATGGTGACGAGCAGCTTCCAGAGCCCCAGCAGGATGATGCCGATCAGCACCACACTGCCAATCACCGCCAGCACGATCGTCACGGCGCTGGGGGCTGAGCTGCACGCTGGTAATGAGGGGGAGAAGGTAATTAGCTCTGGTGTGAGTGTATCCCGGATGAGGATACCGGGACGTAACGACCTGGACCGCAGCCACTGAGCAAGTGACCTCAGGGCAGTTGCTAGCAGCAGTGACTAAATTAAAAAAAGCAACAATCCTCTCTGAAACCAAAAGAATTTTTTTTTTCATTAAATAAATTCCTAAAAAAAAAGCTCTCATGGATGTCACTGGAGCCGGGATGTCACACAGCGCTTCGGGGGAAGAGCAGTGCTAAAGTGCCACCATCCAACACTGACGCCTGGTTTTAAAGCCAGATGAGCCATGTGGGACACAGAGGGTTAAGGCACCTCTGGCAAAAGCCAGCTAAGCTTCTGGCCCACATGGAGACAGGTGATCACGAGGCACTCTAAATAAATACATTAACTGTCAGCTAATCAACTGGTCTTTCAATTAAGTGCAAGCCGCAGCACAAATAAAATAAAACGTGCGGTATCTCAGTCTTTTCCATACTGGCCTGTGCCTCGGAGGACCAGAGCAGACTGCGAGAAGCTACTGCTGGGTGCTCGCCAGCTTGTCCTGCAACACCACGTGGGGTTTTCTTTGAGAAACTGCATTGCACGTGATTAAAATAACACTGGGAAGCACAGCTGTCTGCAGCAGCCTGGGGAGGGGAGCAGGGACACGCAGCCCTTACGCTGCCTGGACCAGAGCTAGCTCTTTGGAGATGCAGAAATCCATAGATGGCGTGGGGTTTTCCTAACACCCCAACTTAACCAGCAGCAGCACCAGGTGTCCCCTTCTGATTTTTTTTGCTCACAGTGGCTGTATCACCAAATCAGTACATGGCATGCATTTTGGAACGTAAATAGACTGGGTTTAATTTCAGCATCCTGAGCTGGCAGGAAGCCCTTCAGCCGTTTGCTAGCAATGCTGGCGGCTCAGGTGCATGTTTCACTCTCGGTCAGAGTCCTTTTTTACTGAGTTGGGAGCATTTGGAGCTGGGTTTCAGCACTGTAAAACACCTCATTTTTTTAAATCATCCTGGTTCATCTGCTTGCACATGCCTTCGTGCAGCCAGTGAAACCAGCCTTTCTGCCCCCCAATAGCCTGTCACCTCTCGCGAGGCAGCCTGTGCTATTAAAAGGAAATCCAAGGGAGGGCCAACCTGGCTCTTTGAGGACGGTGAGGTTGGATTTCCCACTGGGAAGCTCCAAGTAGGTGAATTTCATGACGCAGTTGTTCACCGGGTAGGCGCAGAGGATCGCGTTTGGGTCATCTGTTTCTGGAATGAGATGCAGAGTCGCAGAGTTTTATTTTGGTTTTTATATAAAAAAAAATTCCTAAAGACTGCAGAACTCTTGTATCCTAATTCCTTACACAAATGCTTCCAACACCCTCTTCTTAGTAAGCTACTTCCCCCCTAACAACTTCCGATGGCGTGGGTTCCCCTGATTTTGACCTACTCTCCCTTTCTAAGTGGGATATGTCTAAAGCTGCAATATGGCACTTGGTTGACTTAGTTGGCAGATTTAATATTAGGAATTAGCACAGTTCTCTTCTGCAAGCTGAGCAGCGCTTCCCACGGGTGCCAGGGAGCAGAGGAACGGGGACCAAGCCTGGAAAGCAGCACAGTTTGATCATGATTCATGCAAACTGTAACTGAGCAGCATCCAGACTTACTGCCTGAGAAAATGTGGCACTCAGCAAACGCTGCATGGCAAACAGACGCAACCTCACACACACACACACACACTCACACACTCTTCCTTCGCACAAGGCTGCTTTGGCAATAAATGCCATTTTCTTCTTAATTTGCTGAATTTCTTGAAGAGTGGAAGCTGAAGAGAAAGTGAGGGGCACAGACTGAGCCTGTGAGGACACGGACAGGGCCAGCAGCAGCAGCAGCCCATGGCTGGCTCATGCTCCAGCTGTGCTGAACGGCTCCAGCTCCAGCAACAGTTGAGAAGTTTGGTTTTAAAGAGTGAGACAGAAGAGGAAAATGGGGAGGGAAGGGGAGGAGGGAGGGGGAAGGGAGGAGTTGGTTGGAGGTGAGGATGCGGAGATGGGGGAGTTGCAAGAAATGAGACTACTTGATTCCCATGGCCAAACGGGCGCTGTTTCTTTGCCTGTTTAACATACCGTAACACCAGGCAGAGCCTGTCGCTGCTCTGGACACTCTAAGATGTTTCCTGAGGAAGGCTGCTTCACAAAAGCCATTACGAAGTTTCAGCAAAGCCATCATCTGAGGTTTGCAGTTCTAGCTTCAGGGGCTATTTCAGCAGAGCCACCGTCCTGCATGGCCACAGCTCGTGGGGTGTCCCCGCTGCAGGGACAGTGCCTGGAGGCAGATGGGGCAACATCTCCAGCCATGCCAGGTAGCTCTGCAGGAGCACGTCTCTGTAGGCCTGCATGGGCTGAGAGTTTCAAGGGAGAGGAAGGGATCTGGGCACCCAGTGCTACTGGCTGGCAAAGACGTGACCTTGTCTTAGGCACCTGGAAAATGCTTCCCATGGCTCTCCTCCTCACTCATACCCATGCCCGTCTGTCACGCTGAAAAATGATCATGTTAATGACCACTGCTATTCCAGCCCCTTATCTCCCTCCTGTCTGTTTGTCTTTCCTTTCAATGCCTTTGACCTGCTTTCAGTCGAAAGATTAATACCCTCCATTTCAACAGCTCTGAGCCCAGATGCAACTGCCCCTGTGGTGAGTCCTGACAAAGTTCCTGGTGTGGACAAACCTCAGCTGTTCCTACCTCAGGACAGGAAAACCTGCTCTACCTACACAGTGGTATCAAAGGCAGGGCTGGAGAAGTGTTGATTTTTACAAAGCAAATAATATAGATAAAACTTCTCTGACTAATGTTTCCTGACTAATGCCCTTCTGAGTTGAACAGCAAATCTTAGTTCCTCCAGGCCCAGCTGCTTTCAATCCCATCCTTGCACCATTACTCTACTACAAGATACAGTGATTAAAGTCTCAATAGTAATGATCTCTGTTGGTCTTCACTAGGTTTCAGAGATCACACGTCCACAGAGAGAGGTGTGATGGCCCCATTGAGCTTTCAGGTCCCCTGATGTGTGCTGTTGGCAGGTTCAGCTCAGGGCTGGACCTGTCATGCTCCTCACGTGTTGAAAGCTCCTCTCTGGAACCATCAGAAATGGAAATGTAATACTGCAGAAGCGAAGGAGATCCTGCAGAGTCCAATGCAAGTCATATAAGCCTCCCAAAAGGCATCATTCTGGCTCGTGAGTCCAATGATAGATGCCTCTGCTCTACACAGCTTTGAAGCACTGGCTGCTTCATACCCAGAGCCAAAAGGCACTTGGGATCTTCCAGGGTGTGTTCATTGCAACTCGATATTTAAGAAGGTCCCATCCTCCACTGCCAGGACAATGCAGACCTCTGTCTTCTGTGACAAATATCAGCGTTTGGCCTCTCAGCCGGGACTTTTAACATGTGCTACATAACACAAAAGCACTTGAAGACCAGGATTTGGCTGAGTCTGCCTGTGAAGAAGTCCGTAGTCCCCAAGCACTTTCTCTAGGAATATTTTGCTTTACCTCTTTCTCTAGCAACCCAGATCTCCAAGCTGCAGAGTGCTGTGAGCTCCCAAGAGCTCAGCACTACCTGCAATCTGATGCAGTAGTTCAACAGAATAATAACTCCCCAAAATCTCTCAAAACAGAAATGTGGCTGTGTTTTTCTCTGAAAGCCATTCGGGGAGTTGGAAAACCACAGCCCAGCCTCACCTGCCACGGTACAGTCAGCACAAAAGCTGGCTTTGGCATGGTGCAACACCCAGGCAGGAGAGTTGAGCTTTAATCTCCAGTATTTGCTGGCTCCTAAGAAACGCAGGCCAGCTAGGCATCAGAAAGGAGCCTCGTGTGGTTTGGAAGTGCCTTGTAACCTCTCGCAGTGTGCTGCTGTGGGTGTACTCCCCTGTAAATTGCAGGGAGGATGGAGAGAATGAGAGCAAGTCTTCCAAAGGGAAAGGTGGGAAACCCCACTGGTCGTAATTTAAAAGCTAGACACTGGATGTGAGAGGAGTCAATGGGAAAAACATCGCCTGCAGCTCGGGAGGAAGGGGGAGAAAGGGTGAGCAAGGTAGAGCACTCCTACCTCTATAAACTATGGGAAGAAGAGGAAATGTCAGATGTGGACAGTAATTTATCCCTGCTTGACCTTCCTCCCTCCCTCCAAGGAGTGTTGCTAAGGCCAGGGTCAGCATTGAGATTAAAACTGTCACAAGTTTGAATCCCCTCTACTCCAGCAACAAGGGACTCCCAGAACAGAGCTTGAAAAGAAGGGGGAGAAAGTCATCTGCTGAGGGATGCATGTGTGGGGTGATCTCTAGAAGAGGACACAAAGGGAAGGAGAGGAACTTGCCAAGGGGACTTTTAGCAGTCAGTTCCACCAAAGCAGAACTCATCGTCTCCAAAACAGATTTGCTTTCTCTTACAAGCTCACTTCTTCCAAGATGAATTCTCAGAAGATTAGAAAATGCCTTTTTTGGGTGTTATTTCATCCTTTTGCACTCTCTCACGGCTCATCTAATCTTCTGTCTCATCTCATCTCATCCCACTCTCTTTGCTCCTTGCACGGATGGTAGTCGTTAGATGTGGTAAGATGTTATTTAAAATCAAAGGGTTTTTTACTTCAATATAGATTACAGCCTGGAGAGAGGATCACACATACTACATATACACATATACATGCTACATACACACATACATTTCTAAATACCAAGTGTTCCCTGAGGCTTTTTTTACAGATATGTCTTGGTCTGGTTAAGAGGTGTTCAACGCCACAGTCACTGGCTCTGTGGTGGTGCATTTTCCCCAATCCCCCGGGCCACTCTACGATCTCAGGAATTCCCGTTAGCCTTGGCCTTTGTGTAATGAGTTGGGCAGTGAAGCGTCCCTTGACCGTACCAGGAACTCGTGTTGCCTGGCCAAGGTGAGGAACGAGAGCAGGAATAATTAGTCATCTCCCGACAGCCTTGGACCATTCCTTACCTGGATCGTAGCTCAAGTGGAACGGTACCATTGTTACTGGAATTTTGAGAATTTCAGTCATTACCGACCAAGATTGTGGCCAGGATGGAAATTTACTGATGACTAAAGCCAATCACCTTGCGGTCCTAAGTGAGGCCCTTTGAGCTCTCCTGGACCGCAGCGGGCTGCGACCAGAATCTCCCTCTGAGTGGGATGCCTCTCGGAGCTCGCAAACTCTCAAGTTTGCAAAGTTCGGAGGACCGTCGCCGAAAGCTGACGGTGGGACCTGGGCCAAAACCCTTCACTCCTTGAGGCTCAACCCTCGCCCACTGAGAAATGCCGAGACTTTTGAAGTGAATATTTCACTGAACTTGAGGGGAATTTTTAACAGATGTGCCTTTGTACATTTACATATTTTTGTGTCTGTGTGCGTGCGTGTGTGAATTGGTTTAGGTACCCGATAGCAAGTATAGTACAAATATTGGCATCTCGAATCTGTAATTAAGTCACTGTTGTGATTGTAGTAAATTCTATTGACTCACTTTGTAAATGTTAAATTAGTCAATGATTAAGCGCTGCTAAAATTCTGTGATCCACCTTAAACTGTGAATGAACCTTAGACTGCTACTAGACACATATAATCCCTTAAACATACACCATTGACCAAGTCTGGGACTAGGAGTGGATCCAGCCACACATAAGCTCCATTAGGAGTTTAGAAAGCAAGGTGGTCTTCTCTGAACGTCGTGACTCAGCAGGAGGGTCTCCCTTACCCTTTTGTGTCTTCAGTCTCTGTATAAATCATTCTAGCTCGATTCTAACTCGATTTTCCTTTGTATGCTTCATCCACGTAGTAAGTGATAGAGTGAACCTTGCCATCGAACTTTGTTAAGTCGCACTTCTACAAATTGTATTAAAACCACTTTTGCTAATACCTTTGACAGTGATTCTTTAAGCGATCTAAATCATTCATCTGCAACAGACTCCCACCATCTGCAGTCCTGCTGCTGCCTACTTACTGAGAACATCCACAGTAGCGATGATCTCGTCCTTGCAGTGCTTTTGGCAGGTTTGGTTATCAGCCAGTCTTCCTGAGTTAAACAGCTTGCATTCAATGCAGTCCCTGCAGAAAGACACACGGAGGGGAAGATTAAGCACCCGTCAGAAAACGAATGAACATAGAGATTCACCCCTCGGAAAGGGACTCCCTGAGTGTTGGTCTGGAGGTTGCACATCTGCACCACAAGGAAAGAGCAACTTCAGGGCCAAGCATCTCCATCTCAAGGATGGATTTATTCTAGGGGTGGATTCAATGAAGGTGCAAAACCGCTGGTAGGTTTGGGGTCTGTTTGCGCTTTGGATGTCAGGAACTGCACGTCAGCTACTGCAAAATCCATCCTGCCTGAGATCAAGGCAGACAGCATTGCAGCTCTGCACCAGTCTGAGGCTGATGCCCAGGACACCCCCGTCGCTGCGAGGCAGGCAGTCATCCCCGTCCTCCCCTCCTCTGCAGCTTGCAGCTCACTAGGCCCGATGTTTGCAGCTCAGGGTGCAGCAAAACTGGGGTTGCCATCCTTTCCTCCAGAGCGGGACAGCACTGGAAATGAATGAGAACCTGAACCTCCATGAGGACTTGGGCAGCAACACTTGTTGCTTCTCTGCCTGGGATACCCTCTGGTTGCTTAGCATGGGCTCTGAGCAGCAGCAGGCTTGCCTAGGGCTAATCAACCCTGTTTAACAAAGCGGGAGTAATTCCTTAGCTGCAAAGTCTCCCAGGAACCAAAGAGCTGCCCATCCTACCAGTGAGAAGTCCCTGCTGAAGCCCCCCGTGAGTACCTTTTCGTGCTACAGACACCTGGGCAGGTGGGACACTTCTCACACGTCTCTCCAAAAGCCCCCGGCTCGGTGCACTGACACTTCCCACAGACGCAGGTGCCCCTGCCGCTGCACATCTGCCCGTCGCTGGAAACACAGCTGTCTGTCTCGGTGGAGCAGTTGCAGTTGTCCCCGATGTAACCGGCGTGGCACTTGCACTCCCCGCAGTGACACTCTCCGTGGCCTGAAGGCGAGAGAGGGGAGGAGGCGTCAGCAGCACCCCGGGCCAGCTGCCCCTGTGCCGGAGGGATCAGCAGCCCAGCAGGAAAAGCTGCCAGACAGAGACCTTATTTGGCAGAGCATCAAATAGATGGTGATGGGAAACACCTAGATATCAAATTATTATCTACATTTAGCAGCAAAAAATACTTACTCGCAGCTCCTCCAGCTTCCCTCTGTAGTCACTCAAGACAAATGGGCACCTCTCCGTTCCTAGATGGGACCAGGCAGCCAGGACAGGGGCACAAACTGCCCTTGGGAGGTACCAGCAGTGATGCTGACCATGGGGAGAACAGGACAGCTCCCTTCGAGCAGACACAGCCTGCAGCTGGGGAGGTGAATTCCACCCCAAGTCCCCGCGGGACCCCTGCTCAGCGTAGCACTGTCATCCTTCTGCGGGTGGAGGGCAGCAAAATGAGCAGGTCTACGCGGGTCTATTGCAGAGCCCAAACATGATTAGCTGGCAGAGACTGCATGCTCCCGTCAGGTGTCCAACTTGTTACTCTCTTATTTTCCTCTCTCCAGTTGAGGGTTCCCAAGCACCCCGCTCTTTTCAGGGTGCTCTTTTGCACCCTCCCGGTTCACCCCCATTCAGTGCTTAACACCATCAAACACTGACACCTGAGAGCACGTTTCAGCAGTGTGTTGTCATGAGCCTTTCTTACCTGCAGAATGAACATCCCCGACCTTTGCCTCCTGGTGCCCAGTACCATGTAACTGGGCTTTGCAGAGCTCTACACCTCCCACCTCCGCAGAAGGCAAGCAGCATCTCTGTCACTCAGTCCCCAACGCTTCCTAAGCATCACTCGGCTTCACTCGTGTGCCCACCTGAAGGCTCCAGCTAAGCTAGGAGGGTTATGTGCAGTTTAGTACCATGATTTCCACTGCTACTGGAGTAGCAAAAATATCCAGGCTGACGAAGGGTCTCTGGCAGCAGCTTTCGAAATACTGCTTCTCAAACCAGATGCCTCTGTCTCAGAGGCACGGCACTGGGCAGACAAACACTTTAGGGCACCAGAGGATGTGGCAGAGTCGATGCGATCTGGCTGAGCCAGACAGGAGGCAGCACAGCCAGACTGCAGGCAGTTTTCTGCTCGGGCTTGCAACGGCATCGGATTTTGCTAGCAGAGCCGTTATGCCAGTAAATGGGGGGCCTAAGCCACGCTTCCTAGAAGCCTAGCCTTCTCCAGGCCAACACCACTCAGCAAGAAGTTTTCTCCTCCTCCACGCTTCCCTGCCCACTGTGGACCCTGAGCTCTGGAGATCAGTATTACTGTTGGGCCCTCAAAATGGTGTAAAAGAGAGGGCTCCTGCAAGGGCTTCTATATTTACTGGGCTTGCTGGTGTTTTGTACGAATTAATCTCTTCTTTCTCTGTCTACATCGAGAGAAATGAAGATGGGAATGGAGCAGTGCTTCCTGGCTGGTTTTGAACCCACGGTTTAGCAGCAAAAAGCCTAGCAGGTCGACCATTTCATAAGGTCTTTCCTACCCTGCTTTCCTAACAGCTTTACTTAAGAAGTACTCCCAAACACCTTAAAAAAAAATTTAAATCAACAAGCACCATCTCCTGTGTCCAAGCAAGACTTTTACGTCCCAGCCAGTACCATGAAGGTTGCTGGGACCAGCTGAACCTCCCCCCAGGGAGTAGCTCGGGGCAGCTCACAGCGGAGATGGATGAAGAAACTGATCCAGTAAGGGTTTTCCCCTACCAAAGCATCCCCTTGCAACTATGGGGTTTAGCGACGGGCTGAGAAAGTCAACAGGCTTAAAGGCTTTCAGTGACGGTAAGTGGAGTGGCTGGCTGCCGAGCATCTGGTTTCAGAAAGGCATCCATCAGCTCGCTGGAAATACTGCTCGAATTCCTCCTTGGTCGGTCCCTAGGACAAGGGATGACTTTGAAGGCATAGTTTATAGAGCTGAAGGGTTTGTATACGAGGCTCATCAGCAATCTAATTACAGCTCAGCTTTCCCACTGGAAACAGCCTCAAGCGCCTCCGACAAGATAAATTATATACATGCTCCTTTAATCGGCACAAAACCGCTGATCTCCCTGCCTCTCCCATCGCTCCAAGTTTACCAGAGAGGCTGTGGATTGTCAGGCTATACCGCTTGCCAAAAGTCATGGGAACACCTTCTGTTTTACAAGGCATCTCATATGTCCCAGCACATCACAAGTTGCCCTCCTACAGGCTCTTTTGCCCTCCCCCCGTTTGCTTTGGATCCAGCCTGCAAACTCAAACATTTCTAGACAGAGGAGGTTATGTTTACAAGATCCCTAGAGGTGACCTCCTTCCCTGCCTACATCTGATGGAGATTAAGAATCCCTCGCTCTGTTTGCCTTCACGACGACAGCCTTGCCCTTTCCCCAGACACATCCGTACAGGCAAGTTTGGTTTGCCCCTTCCCTACAAAACTCCGGTTTTGAGCCCGTGGACACAGCTACGTCCACCACCGCTGCTGCTCGGGGCGCAGCTGCAGAGCGGGGACCCCCCGCACCCTCCGCTTCACAAGCAAACCGAATGGGGTGGCTGGCTTTTATTCACAATTAAGTCAGGCGATCAGGCTCTTGCACACAGCAGGTTTGGTTCCTCCATGGCAATGCATGTGTCCAAATAAGCTATAAATCACAGTTTTCTTAAATGGGCACTATTTCAGGGAATCCAAAGCAGCTGGCACTGGGGCTCTGTGTATATGGCATTTAGTAAATGCGCTCACGCTTGAATTTGAGCTGTGAGGGCCAAGAGAAGCAATCCGACTGCATTCACACCACCCCCTGGTCCCGACCTGGCTGGGAGCCACCTCTCTGCTCTTGGGCAGAGGGGCAGAGCCCCTGCATCGTCAGCCTTAGCTCGGTCCCCCTTGGACACCACAGAGCCCAGCACAAGATACAAATCCATTGGAAATCCACCTCTGGAAGTGTTATTGCTCATGAAATGGTTCTGTTTTTAAAGCCGTCAGTGCCAGGCCAGTATAGGAGGCTAGAAAGCCTGCAGGTCCCTTCCAGCCCCTGGCAGGCTGGGGATGGAGCCTGGAACGACTGTCTCGGGGAAGGGAAACAGCCATTTCCAAATAATGTATCCTATTAAACCACTGCAACTGGAAAATTTAAGAAACAGCATCTTAAAGCAAACAATTTCGTTTATTGAAGGGGATGAAGAAAAAGCCCTTATATATGAGGGTGACTAAGTGTGGGGTGTGAGCTTAAAATTTAAAAGCATGTTGAAATGTGTTTTCTGCCTCGGCCACACTGGCTCAACGTGCAAAAAAGTCACTGGCTGAAGGTCATCACAGGGAATGTGCCAAGAGTGGGAATTTCCATGTTGACCTTTAACAGCAAAGATGTTACAATGTTCACTGCCTACATCAGCTTGAAAGAGTGACCGCTCCTGCAAGCACCGAGAGCTCCACTTCTGGTGCTCACCTTTCATCTCCCACACAGCCTGAAGACCGGAGAAACGTGGTGAGTGGGATACATTTATTTCTCATACGGGCATGACAAGAGTCATCCCACTTCTCAGCGTCCACCTGGGGCACTGGAGATGGGAATACACACTGTCCTCTTGCTCAGGATAAAACCTGAGAGGAGCCCCAAGGCAACTTGGCATGCTGGTCACAGCAAGTTCTTTTGGTGACGGTGACCCAGAGCTGAGGTTTGCAGCATGCAGAGTGCTATCTGGTACTCATATTTGACAGAAAAATGTGCTGCACGTTTCCAGTCTCAGCTATCCTGTGGTCACATGCAAAGCTGATGTGGTTAAGCAGTCTCTATGCCATGTAAGATCATGCCTGCAGGAAGCCTTCCACCACTACTAGTTTCACTTCCCAGTTTCATTTCCAAGATGATAAATGCGTCCTCGAGGAGGGTGTGTTTCAATTCATCTCTGTACCAGCAGAAGTCTCATGGTCAGGACATTACCGTGGATTTTAACCCCCTTGGACCTTTTGAGTTTGCATGTTCTCTATAAAAGCTGGTTTGTGAAGCCAAAAGACATTAATTATGTTCTCCAAACATAACAAGAGATGTTTTTTTCGGTTCTCATCCTTGAAATGAGACGAGCTTAGATGTTTAAAAGATCCAGATCTAATTGGGAAATAAAATGCTCCCTCTGAATTTGATAACATACTTTCCAGCCAGCTCTTGATTGTTGGGGGGGCTAACACGAAACACATGTCAGGGAGGCTGCAGAAACATGCTGGGAGGGTGTAGCAGAGGAAAGCAATGCTTCTGGCGGGGGAGAGCCGTCCCCAGGCTAGGTTTGGACTAGTCTGGGCTCCGGTGGGGCGGGAGCCGCAGGGCGCACTGCTGCTTGGAGGTACCCCCTTCCCAAGGAGGCACCGAGGTGGACCGAGACCCCCGCAGCCCAGCCGGTCCCTCTGACTCTCTCCCCACCCTGAAATACATCCCCATCCCACTGCCGGGCCCTGGCTGGGCTGCACGTCTCGCTGTCACTCAGGTGGCTTTTGGCAGGACATCCAGTCGTCCTCGTTTCACCCCAGCCGCCTCTGCCTCTCCCCCTCAGC